CTCTGACTCCCAAGGATGTGCCTTCTTATAAGACCATGATGATATATAAATGATTTCTAAGCTAATATATATATTTCTTTTGATATTTTTCAAGAGTGAAAGTTACAATAGCTAACATTTATTTTTATAAGATAAGAAAGACATCTTTCTCATTACAGAGTCACAAAATACTTTTCAAGGAAAGTATTTAGGGGTATAGAGGGTATAGAAATTAAAAACTTATCTATAAATAAATTTTCTTACAAAATATTGCTTCCATTTTCTAGATATCAAATCATAATTTTCTCAAGTTAAAATATTTGCTACATCCAAATACCAAGTGCATGCTTTTCAAATATTTATTAGCTCATTAATGACTGAAATAGTTAAAGGGTAAAGCTGTTCTGAAAAGCATTTTGAGGAACCAGGCAAGCATAGGCATTTAAAATTCAGGACTCAGTGTGCATGAAGACCCCGAACAGGTGAAACTATCTGACTGTGACAGAAGCCAGGAGCATCTTATGGTTCAGAAAGAGACGAGAGAAAACTTATGAAATGCTGAAGGTGCTCAATGTCTTGAACCATGTCTTGGTTGCAGGGTTTAACCCTATGTCAACATCCACCCAGCCATAGACGGGATAGGTGCGCGGTCTCCGCACGTTACCTGGGTGAGGATTTTATAGCCCGAGTGAAAAAGAAGAAAGCAAAGTCCATTCTACCGACCTCATGATACCGGTTAGCACAGTGCTTCAGCACAGGCTCTGAAGGCAGGTCAAATCAGTCCACCCCTAATAAGATATCTGACCTTTGATGATAGACTTAACCTCTCTAAGCATTGGATTTCTTCTCTCTGGAAGGGAGATGCATGGTAACACCTACCTTGTAGAGTCCAGGGAAGAATTCAGTAAGACGGTGTTCATGAGGCACATGGCACTCACCGTGGGCCCCCCGCCTGGCCACGGCCCCCACGTACTAGCAGAGCCTCCGGGAGGTTGTGCCCCTCTGTGAAGGTGATGATGGCAGAGGTGATGCCCAGGGCGCTGAGCTCCAGCGTGGCGGTGCTGATGGTGTCGGCATCCTGTGCCCAGCCCGCCTGGAAGAACACGGCCACCTTCCTGAGCAGAAGGCCCGAGCGCACGCGCTTGAACAGGTGTCTTGCCACAAACCTCGTGGCGCCCCCGAGGCTCCTGCTGCCGGAGGGCACTGCCAGGGCTGCCTCCCCGAGCGCCCGCAGGAGCGCAGGCCTGCCCTGGTAGTCGGAGAAGCGAACCAGGTGGTCTGTTCTGCTGTTGCACGAGACCACGGCCACCTGGGCCCCTGTGGGGCAGTTACCCCCACTTATGTCCATCTTCATCAACAGAGAGGCAACAATGTCTCTCCTCCTCTCAAACTCCAGCTGGGAGACGTCATTTGATGTGTCCAAGGGGAAGACCAGGTCAGTCGGGAACACTGGGCATCTGGAGACACCTAGACACATGGACACGCAGATTTGGGATTGTCTGTAAAGCCTCTCAACAGGGGAAGGCGGGCGTGAATAAGAAGAAATGCTATTTACCTATTGAACAAGCTGGAAGGGGGGTGATTTGGGAGAGAAGAGAAGACACTGTTAGTTACCACGGGCAACAGCGTGTTTGACACGTGAGGGCTTTGGTTGAAAACCATCTCCTCTGAGACACTCGAGCCTCCCTGCCTCCTGCCTGAGTGTGGCAGAGACATCAACTTGCTCCCCAATGCCCACTCTCCCTTTTTTCCAGAACAGAACCCCAGTCTCTGGCCAGGGGTCTGGCTGCCTGGAACAAAAACAATATTTCCTGGGGTGGGTAGCCAACTTACTTAGTTCTGGATAATAGAATCAGAAACCTGGCGGGCACAACGTTCTTCCCCTTTTCTTTCCTTTCCCTGCTGGCTGAAGCTTGATAGACATCTTGGACCACAAGGTGACTGGGAAATAGCATCCTCGCCCCAATGGCAGAGCAAGAGAATACAAAGAGCCTGCCTCTCTGAGCACCGTGGAGTTCCAGCAGCTCTGACTGGCCCCGTCCAGGCTCCGACTTGGGAACTACATTTGTGTCTGTGCATCTGGGCACTGAGCTCACACTGTGCTCACCTTCAACCTAATACCCTGAGCTACTCTGCAACTGTATCTACACATACCCACATACATATACACACACACCTTAAAGTACATATATATAATACAAAATACATTAATTATATTATGTGTGAGTGTGTGTACACAAGTTATTTTCATGGAAAATAGCAGAAAGCAAAAAAATTAAAATAACCCTTAATTTATCTTATGTATGTGCACATATGCACAGATATACTTTGTTGTTTTATTTTATAAAACTTGGAGCTCAGGTTTTCCCCCCTTATTGTGTGATAAACATCTATTCTTTCCAACAATAAATTGAGAGCAAAGTCATCTGGCGTAACATGGACATCTCATAACTTCTTCCGCCAGCATCCCTTACTGGAACATGCATCTGTGCATATCTGTCCAATTACAGCCCCATATAGGTTCTGATAATGCTGATGTGCATTGCCCAATGGCTCTTCAGAAAATTTGTGCCAATGGACGTGCCTACATTTCTCAGCTTTGGATAGGGATTTTTTTTCCCTTCATTTTAAAAATCTTTCCAATTTGAGCCACAAAAGAGTATCTCATTTTAATTTGTATTTTTTGACTTCTCGTGAGGTCAAACAATGGCAGGTTTATTGTATTTTTTCTTTTCTGAATCCTCATTCATGTCTTTGGCCTGTTTTCAGTCTAAAAGACCTTTTTACATTTAGGTTTAGCAAATATGAAATCTCCATGTTTGTAGATGAAAATAGTTGAGTAGCAGCAAGTTTACATATTTCAACATGATAGGGTAAAGAAGTTAGGACCTTTGCCTAGGTTCATGGCTTGTAGTGCATATTTTTTCCCCTTTTTTCTGTTTGTTTTTGACTATACAGTGCTCTTGAATGCAAAAGGGGTTTAACTTTTTATACAGCCAACTCTGAGACACTTTCCCTTGGTGGTCAAGATGATGGTATTATTCTTTATGATTTCAAGGAAAAAAGGTTCCAGATATCCTTGAACAGCAACTGGATGGGAATGGACAGAACGTGGAAGAGTTAGCATCTTACAGGGCAGGATGATAGTGGAGAAAATCCAGCTAAGCAATTTGCCAGATCAGCATTCTCTCCCTGTTGCCAGTGAGCAGAGAAATCTGCATATTATAGGATGCAAATATCCCAGAAAACATTAAGGACAGTAAAGGAATTCCAATCTGGGAACGTGACAAGGCATTACTTAGAATTCAGTGATTCATATTTCCATTTTTAAAACAAATGTTAATTCAAAAGATCACATTTTGCAGAATAGATAAACAAGATTATACTGTGTAGCACAGGGAAAAATATATAAGATCTTGTGGTAGCACATAGTGAAAAAAATGTGACAATGAATATATACATGTTCATGTATGACTGAAAAATTGTGCTCTACACTAGAATTTGACACAACATTGTAAAATTACTCAATAAAAAATGTAAAAAAAAAGATATGCAAAAGGTCACGTTCATTACTAAAGGCTCTCCATTATCCCTCTACTTTAAACAGAGGAAATAAAAGAACAGAGCTCCTCTCTGCCAGTCTTGTGATAAAGAAGCGCTGACCTTCAGACACACAGGTGAATAATTGTCAGTGTGTTGCATGAGGTGCCATATCGTGGTGGAATTTTTCTTCCTGCCTTTCACCCACTTCATTTCTGAGACCACACTGGGGACGATGACTTACCCAAGGCTGGGACTGAGCTGAATGTTAATTTATAATAGCCTTTTATGATGGACCACCTCAGTCAAATCCCCAGATGACTTCTGTCCCCAGCCCATGATCCATCCCCACTTCACACCACTGGCTCCTTTGGAGCCTTTCCCACACAACTTACGGCAGTTTTCTCGAGCAATATGGATGATTTCGCAAGGCTGTGAGAAAGATGGAGGAAGAGAGGAAATGGTATTTAATTTGAAGCATATCTCTCCTCATCCTCATGACTTAGAAATGCCATATGGATGTTATCAGTGCCTATCTTAAGCTTCTGAATCCACAAAAGGAAACCCAAAAGTTCTAGCAGCAGATGGAACTCCCCAGAAGTCATCATTCTAGATCCAGTGGATATTTTAAAATATTTGTAGCATTTTATATACAATAGGGTGCACATATGATTAGAGACAGGCAGATGAGGGGACCTCTTTTTTTTTCCCTTGAAGGAATCAAATCTGCTTTTGAAGAAGTTGAGTTCCAGGAATCTCAGCACAGAAGGCAGAGGAATGCCTTCAAGTCTTGGAGCTGTGTATTAGTGATTTCTGTGACACTTCTTTAGAATGGCGGCCAAGACCCTCCAACCCCAACACCTCACCTAGAATTCTGCTTCATCCTCTCAATCCTGTTCTTCCCTCGACCTCACCACTTCTGGCTTCTCAAGTGCCCCGAGATCTGCCCCCGCCTCCCCCATAGGTACCTTGCTCCTGGGAGATGAAAAATCAAGGTAACTTTTGAGATTGGTTCCAGGTGGACCATAAGACAGAGTGGTCTGTACTACACTACATGTTGACTTATAAATACTTTATATACAATTTTTGAACTTACAAAAAGGCTTTCTTTCTTTTTTTTTGCACAGGGCTAGTAGCCTCAAAGTCTTTCATTTTACGTCAACTATTGTTACTTTAAAATAGATTTAGACTCTTATTCTACACTTTAAATTATTTAAGATATTATTTCAGCATTTAAAATATTATTCTGCTCCTTTTATTTGATTTGGTCATAACTAAGAACTTGTGAAAGAAGAAACTAAGGAACCTTTACAGAGTTCCATTTTGTGTAAGTGGAAAACTCTGTGTTCTGAAAATAATCAAGTCTAGAATTAAAATCTTCACATACCGTCATATCTGCCAAACCTTGGGGGCCCTTGATGCTGTGGAAGGAACAGAAATGGGTTAAAAAAAAATGCAAGATTCTGGCATTCCAATACATTATGCTGAAGATGGGATCCAATTAAATTTAAAAGCTTTTGCACAGCTAAGGAGCCCG